TTCCAAGGGAATGTCAGGACAGCCTAATGTAAACTTTTTAAATAGACCCACTTAGCCCAGTTTCTTTAAGGTTTAGTGCATCTGATCAAGTCTTATTAATCTCTCCTCATACGGCCGCCATTCCATGATTAGGGGTATGGAACGGCTGCTATATGAGGAGAGATTATTAAGACTGGGACTTTTCAGCTTGGAAAAGAGACGACTAAGGGGGGATATGATAGAGGTCTATAAAATCGTGACTGGTGTGGAGGAAGTAAATAAGGAAGTGTTATTTATGCCTCATAACACAAGAACTAGGGGTCACTAAATTAAATTAATAGGCAGCAGGTTTAAAACAAACAAAAGAAAGTATTTTTTTCACACAACGCACAGTCAACCAGTGGAACTCCTTGCCAGAGAATGTTGTGAAGGCCAAGACTATAACAGGGTTTAAAAAAAGAACTAAAGTTCATGGAGGATAGATCCATCAATGGCTGTTAGCCAGGATGGACAGGGATGGTGTCCCTAGCCTCTGTTAGCCAGAAGCTGGGAATGAGCGACAGGGGATGGATCACTTGATGATTACCTGTTCTGTTCATTCCCTCTGGGGCACCTGGCATTGGCCCCTCTTAGAAGCCAGGATACTGGGCTAGATGGACCTTTGGTCTGACCCAGTATGGCCATTCTTATGTATGTAAGGGACTGCGTGGGCAAGAGCTGTTCTATGCGATATCCTAGACTTTTCTTCAGCTCTGGACAGGTTCATTAGGAGGTAAAAACAAGAGTTCCTTAGCATTTAGATTTATGCCACTTCAATCACCAGGGACCTTACTAAATGGGCTATCTATCCGTAATTCATACAGTGGGTATGCAGAGGCCTCTTAAAATCTTATTTTTGACTTCAGCTGTCTTGGGTTGCTGATCTGACCATTAACTACAGTCTCTTTAGGGGTGGGGTTTTGTTCACCCCAGTAGTCTATCCCAGCTCAACGCTGCTTTGCTTTCTTCATCCACTTTGCCTGAGAAGACTAGTGTTCTAGTTGACATGACTCAGGTTCTTTCTACAGTGGAAGCTGTACTGTGCAAGATACAGGTGAGTTAAAAGCATAGGTGTGACTTGGAAGGTTCTAGTGCTTTGAAAACCACTTTGGACCTGCTGATAAAGCCATGGTATAGTAGACTAATGTTTGTTATAGGGGTTGGTCCATAGCATCTTTTGTTCACAACTTATGGGGTTTTGCTTTTTTTCTTACCCAGGAGAAAAATCCACATCTTAGCAAAATAGACCTTCTGTCAAAGGTTTCTTCCATGTTTTGTTTTACATTAAAAACTGCATTTGTCTTTAGTGGTTGTATGCTTGCTTGGCAGAAGAATGTTTTGACCATTAAGTTTAAAGGTAAGTAAATCTTATCTGCTACTATGTCAACATTATATAATAGGCTTCTTTTGTAATTATTAGGATAGGGGAACTGTTATATACAAAGGAAAACTTCTTCCCAGTAATTCAGTTCCTCCACAGCCATCTTTTTCATTCTACCTTCTTGTCCACTTCCCTGAGTTATGGCGTGCATAAATGTTTGCTCTGAAAATGTTTGCGCTGGTGAGAAGGTTCATAAAAATTTGGCTGATGGAAAGTGTCTGGCTAGCACAGCATATGTAATAAGATGAGGTACAGATTTTAATAGGAAGAGTCTATTCTCCATCATTCCTTACATTGTCAACAAGTCTTTCCCATGATGGGTGTGGAGGACGGGAGACAAGTATAGACATGTATGCTCTATGATGAAACATGAAATGTTTTTTCTTGTACATTCTTTAATGAAAGGCTTGAATACCCATATAATGCTGTCACTTCCGATTGAGAGAATTCCACTTGAATTCTGAGTAATGCTTCGCATTAACAAAATACTTTACAAAGATTAATTGAATTGATACTGCAGGCACAGAAAACAAGGTATTCAGAATGTTTTTGGCAGTATTTAGCATACTCAAGCTTCATTTCCTGAGGAGTGTTATAACCAGTACACTGGCTGCTTTTATGAACACCAAATTGTGGCATAGACAAGTTTAGCTACAGCATGTGTGTCTTTCTTTGGGCTTGAATCTGCAGGATGCTGAGCAATCAGCCACGTGCTTAACCTGAAGTACATGAACAGTCCCATTGACTTCAATGGAATTATGCATGTGGTTAAGTGCTTTGCTGGATCAGGGCCAGAGTGCTGAATATCTTGCCAGATCAAGTCCTGTATCAGCATCACATCCTTGTTCTTTTACTGTGCAAGATAGTGATGAAAGGTGTATTACTGGTCCAATGAGAGCCCCGCCCTATTTTGAAATATATTAGGATTTTATGAGACATATTGTGAAACGTTGCTTTCATATGGAGAAAGTATGATCTCATGTCTCCTACGCTGGGAACAGTCCCTGTCCTCGTCCACCACACATGCCCTTTCTCCTCCTTCACAGCTTCTCTTCAAGCAATCCCACCTCCCTCTTCTACTTATAATCCCACACCTTCCCTTCTATGACCTGTTAACCAGTCTTGTTTTGTTTAGATTTTAAACTTATTTGGGGATCAGAACATGTCTTACTCTATTTGTAAAGGGGTGTGTAGACTTAGTGCTATGTAAATTATTTTAAACTTAGGCCTGGTCTATACAGTTTTTGTACCAGTATTAACTGTTGAGTGTGGGGTTTTTTTTACCTGATATAGTTATGTATCCACCATAGAGGTTGTAGTCGTAAAAAGGTACAGTGATATATCCCCTTATTCCCCTTCCCCTGTGAAAATCAGCTATACAGATATAAGCACTTTTAAATCAATACAACTGTGTCCACTCTAGGAGGTATTGTATTACTTTACCTATACTGGTGCAGTTAAAGCAGTACAACTTCTGTCTGTAGACAAGGGCTGAGAGGTGACTGAGGCCTGATCTACACTACACAGTTAGGTTGACGTAAGGCAGCTTACATCAACCTAATTGTCAGTGTCTACAGTACAGCCTTGCTCCTGCCGATGTAAGTGCCTTACTACTAGACCTCCACGAGAGGCGTAGGGCTTATGTCGGTGTAGTTAGGATGACACAGTGTCTGTGTAGACACTGCGCTACTTGGGCTGTTGGCTGTCTTGTCAATCTCACAGCAGGAGCTGTGAGATTGACAAGAAAGCCTAGCAGCTAGAGCCCAGCTGCCTCCCACTTCCCTGGAGAGCTGGGCAGCTGGACCCTGCTCTTGGCTGGGAGCAGGGAGGAGAAGCCCAGGCAGCTTCTCTCCCCTTCACTCTCCTGCTCCCAGCTGGGAACCTTGGCTGTCTTGTCAATTTCATGACTCTGTCTTGAAGCTGTGAAACTGACAAGGCTGCATGGCTCCTGGCAGGGATCAGGCAGGAGAGCCCACTGGGAGCCTGTGGGGAGCCAGGCTCCTGGCAGGGAGCTGCCAGTGGACCTGAGACACAGGGCTCTCAGCTCCCCACACTGTCCCTTTTAGGTTAGTGGAAGTGCTCCTAGTGAGGATGCGCACCACAGATCCAAGGACAGTGTGTGGACATGCACCACTGCAGCAATTACTGTGGTGGCTGTAAGTTGACCTACTATAGGTTGACTTATGTTTCTAGTATAGACATGCCCTACATAAGTACTGTTCAAAAAAGAGTGGAATTAATATCTGGTGCATGTAAACACGTCCCCCCCCTTAAAGATCTCTTCCTATTTAAAATGTATTTCTGCTTGTCTTTCCTATTTTGCTCTGTCAAATCTTAAGTCATTCTTAGATGAAGATTTGTCTGTTTTCTCTTTACTTACCAAACGAGCCAGAACCCAGCTCCCACATAGAAATGATACTCTCATGGGCAAAAAAGTTTGTGCACATAAATCAGACAAATGCTGGATCCAATTCTGCTTCTCTTGAACTCACTTGCAAACCTCCCACTGCCTTTCAATAAGAGAAGCAGGCTATGGCTATGACTACAGCTACTTTTGCCTATGCAAATATTTTATTTTACAAATGATTGTTGCACAAGTGCAAACTACAATGGCCATATAGCCCCTAATGTCAAATAAAAAGTTCTGTAGAGTTTGCTTTTATTAGACAATAATTGAGGCTCCTTCATGCATTGAACTGAAGAATATTGGCCTTGTAGCTGCTGTTGTGGTAGTGATGGTGGCAGGCCAGACAGATACACCCACTGAACTGCCATTTCAGACTAATTCACAGAAGCCGGTGGCTTTATCTATATAAAACCTAAACAATTTATGTATTAGCCATCTGAAATATCCTTGGTGCAAATGAGCTCCCAATATTGAATTTTTTTAAAAAAAATCAAGATTTAACTTGGGGAAAACGTGAAGGTTTGTCTAAGTAAGTAGTTAGTGTACTGAAAGCAATTGCATGGAACTTGTCAATGTATTAGATTAGGATAGACTAGGCTACATGCCTTTTTGTTTCATAAATAGAGAAGTGTTTGAATGAAATAGCCCGGTGTACAGCCTTTTAGTAGCTTTCATTAAGGTAAAACAAACCAAATGTCTTGTCTAGAGAGCAATTCTGTATAAAGTAATAAAACCTAGAATTGAAACGTGATTCTTGAAATGGTAAGGCAGCTAAGGAAACGGTTTCTCTTTTTTTATCTTGTGAGCTTTGCACAGTAGATTAGGCAGTAACACCACCTAGTGGAATAGAAGTGAAACTTCAGTTACACTTTATCACTTTTGAGTTGTCCTCACCTTTACAGATAACTTTGGTGCATTAAGTGGCACCAAATGGTCAAAATAAGATTGGGAGAACATTATGCTAGATGCTGTAAACAGCTCCTGTGTCAAAGTTTATTCAATCTTCATAGACAAAACAAAAGGTAGGAAGGGCTGAGGCAAAGGTGTGGTGACTTTCCCTATGTCAGATAACAAAGCGAGTATTAGAACGTTACTGTTCTGTTCCACGTGTGATACTGATATTGTATATGCACAGCATGAGGATTTACTACCTTAGTCTAGTTACAGGAACTATAAATGAGAGCACTATATAAATGAAGGTTACATTTCAAAGCTGCCTCTCTCTCAAGGCCTTTTGGCAGAGACAAATCATCCCTAATGATACTATATGAAGATCTGAGCCCATTTAACAGTATGTGTTAGTGAATTTAGTCTAGGGTCCTGTCCATTAGCCATTGCTCTGTCTCAGTTCAGTTGTTGACTAGTTATAGCTAAAACCGGAACCCACAGAACTTGACTCTATATTTCTGGTAGTGTCTGTGACTAAGGATAAACACTTTTTGGGGATGTGGGGTTATCAATATTAACATAGGACAGAGGGATTCTCAAACTTGTTTTCATACGGTGAACCATCCTAAAAGATAGGAATTGGGCTTGTATTCTTTTATATAAAAAACTAAACAAATTTGCTGGTCTTCTTTAAACTCAGGTCTTGTTCAGTCTGAAATACTCTCTGGGGACTACAGAACTAGTGAAATGATATCACAAGAGAATGAAAGTTAAGCAAATGAGATGGGAAGAGGGTAATCAATGTTTACATTGGTTAGCTCCAGTTTTTGAATTAAATAGATGTTCTCTGTCTGTACACAGCATCTAATGACCACTTTGGATAAAGGACTCATTCAGTATCCCAGCACCTTCAGTTAAAGTGAGATCTCACAAGACACCGAAACTGACCTGCAGCAAAGTCTGGAAAGACTAGACTTGATATGTCTAAGGTAAGTGTGTGGGTTCTCCCCCTCTCGCTTTAAAATATCATCAGGCTGCCTTTACACAAAGGAATTTTTTAAAAAGTCTACAACACTAACTCTTCAAAAAAAATCCTTGTGGGTCCTCTTTGATAGAGAACTGTGTGGCCCCCTCCCCTATCCTGCCTGATCACATAGTATGCCTGAGCTACCAGCAGCAATTGTTTATTAAGGAAAATAATGCATTTTTAGGTGCCTTCATGCAGTTTATCAGCTAAGAATAAGGAGACTCAGCAGTCCACCATCCACTGGTCTGCAACTGCCTATGTTAATATACTATATTGTGAATTCATGGCAGAGCTGAGGGCCTTGTTCACCACTCTGTGTGATGGTGACTTCAGTAAAATGAACTTTTTACAAGCAAGATGGTATTTGAAGATGCTACTTCTAATACAATGTGACTGATCTGTTCCAAATGCATTATTGATAGTGTATGCACAGTGTCTGGATTTACTACCTCAGAGTAGTTAGAGACTATAAATAACTTTCTCCATTTATAAAGTGCTCTTTCATCTCAAAGCTTCCCACCCCCTCCCAGGCCATCCCTAATGATATGATATATGAACATCTTAGCCCTTTTGGCAGTAGTTTTTTCTTCCTTTGTCTGCAGACAGTCTGAAATCATGGACCTGAGGAGTGAACCAGCATCGTCTATGTAAGTATATGGCTCTTGTTGCTGTAGCATCTATGAGTCTCCCAATACATCTGCTGAAATGGGAAAGATTTTTATTCACTTGACAGAGGAGGGAAACTTGATGTGTAATAGAGTAAGTGACACAGGTCACAAAGAAGTCTGTGGCTGAGCCAGGAATTGAACCCAGCTCTTTGACTCTTTCTCCAATACCATAGCCACTAAACTGTGCCCCCTACATCCTTTTATACTGGCTTCATATGTGGGTTAATATCCATTAAGATGAATTTGCCAACAATTTAAATGTCAGTATTAACTTTCTCTGAGCTTTTGCAGAAACATTCCACAGTCAAACTGCTGCTCTCCTGGGTTCCCAGCTTCCCTATCCTGAAAACTTGATGCACATACATCTTCAATATGCCAAACTGTTAATGTAACACTTAAATTTAGTACCAAAAGAGAAGCATTACTGTTATGATTGTATTTTTTTTTTTTTTTTTTAGAACTCCCTGAAGTTCCCACAAGACTTCCAGTGTGCTGCAAAAGACTGCCCCAGAATCCAGGGACGTAGATCCAGCTTGCTGCAGAGTACACCACGGCTGCTTTTGTTTACTTACATGCAAAATTCAGGTACTTGCAGTGGGTCTCTTTGTTATGACAAAAAGGATCTGCTACACTTTGGTGCTGCTAGAAAAAAAGTTCAAATTCTGCCTAGTGTAAGCATTTGCAAAGTCAGGAAACTATTGTTGCCAGAGTATGTGAGAAGGCAATAAAATCCTAAAGTGAAATAAGTGTGTACCAGGAAAACCCCTAACATTTGGAACTATTTATTAGAACCAAAAAATTAAGTCTGTCTTTACTGACTTTAATGGGAACAGTATTAGACCACGGCTTGAGTGCCTTTGCAATTTCTGCAATGCAGTATAAATACCTAGATGGTGCTATACAGCAACATGAATGGAGGCTGCTGGCAGCTGACAGTAATTTTCAGTCACTGCTTCCCTAGAACTAGACTGAAACTGGTACCAGAGATGAAAGACTCATCACAACCAAATTTCTGGTGTCTTTACAAAACTCTTCCATACTTGAAACTAATAACCAGTGACAGTGAGCCCAGTTTAGTTCCCTCTCCCATCACACCTAAAGTCCAGTTCAGGTACTGGCATACAAAAACTTCCACAGCTCCAGTCCCTTGTACTGTCAATAGCTGTATGAGACGGTTTGCACACTACCAGTGGAACAAAGCCCCTTAATTGTGTTTTCAGCCCACATGCTGAACCAAATCCTTAACTGAGTATATGACAAAGAATGAACATTAACACACAGATAGTAATGATATTTAATAAACATTTGTTTACATTTTTAAAAAAGTTGCTGGTGTAATTCATAATGTACACTGAATTGGAATGGCAACAAATTGTTCATATAAATTCCCATCTATCTCTGTGAAGAAATCTCAGCTCTAGTTCCCAGTTGAATTTAGTCTAGAAGTGTCATTTTGTAGTACCCCCACTTGATCAAGGGAGCTTTCAACTCTTTGCAACCACTTTAAACAACAACATTACCTGATCTTCAAATTCATGTGACATGCTAAAACATTTCTTAAAAGGCACATAATTTTTTGCAGGTTTCTGAAGTTTCTCCTCTACACTTTGAGGACTAGTTGCTTTCCTTTCACAGTGTTTGGGAAGAGAGAGTTCCAAAATTCTCTTAAATTGTCAGGACAAGCTCTGCAGGTGAGATTTATCATCATGTTCTTGTCTTGTGTGAATGCATTAACAATCTAATCAACAGAACACTTAAAGCAAACTGCCTTTTAATCTTCCAAACGCTGCCTTTAATATCAATCGGTGATCTAGCTTTTTTAAAGCAATAACTGTCTTAATATATTTGAGTTAGATGGTCACAGAAATACACAACTAATATGTAAATAAATAATGTTGCTTCCAGCATCATATGTGACCTTTGATTAAAAACAGTCCTTGGAGTTTCAAAAAGATAAATACTCAGACCAGAGTTGTATTGCAAATTTTTCTTAAGTTAAAAGTTATGAATATTCCAGTTGGTAAATAAGGATTAATATTCAGACTATACTGAATTTGATTTCTGATTAATATAGTTAAGGTTTCAGAATTAGAAACTTTTTTTTATAGGAAGTAGACCAAATTTACTATTGTATTGAAGACACACTAGTAAATATAAAGTGAGTCATTTACGAAAGAAAAGACTGACAGTAGCAGTCACATCCAGGGTAATTTTTGTTGTACTTATTACTGCCCTTCCCTTCTTTCACTGTAGTTTCTATGGGCCAAAGAGATGGGACCAGTTGTAGATAGACTTCTGTATCCTTGATTATCCACACATGGATGTAAGTCAATGGAGGCAGACCATTGCACTCTGCCTCACTTACATACAGAGCCAGTTCATCTCCACAAACTATCAAGACTTCAGTAGTGACCCTGTGTAATTGCTGAAGCCTTCCCCTCCTCACCCCAATCATGTGCAAAGTTAGCCTAGCTCACCAATACTATTGCACTCCCATGGTAAACATTTTAGTGAAGTGTCTTAAGAGGGCTGCAGTCTTGCATATAGGCTGTTCGAGATCAGGACTGGCATGTGTACACATGCTTATAGCTCTGCAGCTGGTTACACAGAAGTAGTTCAGTGTGTAACACTTCTTTTCTTTAACAGTGCCATGATGTGTGAGATAGGGATGAATGCATTTCATCAAGGGCACTTTTCCGGAGATGGACCAGCTGCCTGAACAACATGCTTCATTGTGGTACAGGTAGAAGTTGAGCCAAAATTAGCCCTAGATAGTTTGCCTCTGCAGCAGTAGATATTCAGATTTACACAAGGGACCATATAATGATCCCAACCAGAAAAGGAACAGGCCCCCACGCAAGCCCACTTGAACAATGTTATTGCAAACTGGATATTTACTTGCAAATTTTTCATGGAGTTGATTAAACATCACAATGTAAAACTAGTTTTTTCCTCCGTTATAGTATACTTTACATGAATAGCAAAAAGAATAGATTAGATAATTGAGAACATTGAAATGTTCTGTGAATTATATTTAAGAAATGTAACCCATAGTCAAACAGGCACTCTTTAAAGCCCCTCCCAAAAGATTTATACCTGAGTGCAGAATTTCCTACATATTACTAGGTAAACTAGATACTCTGAAAGTGAGCGCTAAGTTAGAAACTGTACACAAATAGCATAGGAAAAGGTTAGTTAAACACTATGTGGAGTTAGTCACCAAATGGAAGGAATGACTGTCTGATGAAGTATATGTCAAGCTTCCTTTAGTTGAGCAACTGACAGATCTCTTTATGGACACAGCATAGGAAATCAACATAAGAAGCTCCTCCATAAAGACTTTTGTCTTCCACCAGGTATTGTCGGAAAAGCATTTCTGCTTGTTCTCGTTGCTTTGCTATTAGCAGCTGAAATGAGAAATACTGATTATTCAGGATACAGCAAGGGTTTGTTGATACTGTATTTTCAGAGAAATAGTTTTATGTGCTTTAGCTGAGCACTGCCAAGTATACTACTTCACTTCAGCAGTGTCTGTAACTCATGGAGATCTAGCTAGCAGCAGCACAAGCACATATGTACACTGGGAAGTCAGGCTGCCATAGTGCAGCCCATACTGCTATTTTAAGTGAGCTAACTTAAAATCAGTTAGCATGGGTATGTCTACATGAGCTTCAGTTTGCATGTAACAAAGAACCCTCAGTGACTAGGTATGACAGTACTGCAGACACTCTGGATGCATGTGTAAATATTTTGGAACAGCTTAAGCCCCTGTCTTTGAAAATCTTGCCCTAAATAACCAGCATCTATGTTCAATTCAAAAGCAAGCCCATAATCAAACATCACCCTGATTTAATTTCTGTAAGTGAACTGTGCTACGTACCTTGAAGCTTTTACTACTTTATGGTGGCATAAAATAAGCGTGCAGTATTTGCCTTACTCTGCTCCTATTTAAATCAATAGCCAGGGACTTCTGTGGAAGCAGAGTTAAGCCTGCCCTTTGGGAGATGGCTGCAATTTCTTATCCAGCAAGAAAAAATAAATTGAACATATTTGGGCCCTGATTTGACAAAGGAATCTGCCTGGCTAGGCCTTTCCACTGATACAGAGCCTGCTGAAGTCAAAAGCCCATGTAGCAATAAAGGTTTCTGAACAGGTGTCCCTTTATTACAGGTTATAAATTTCCAATCAAAGCCAGCATTGCACAAATATTGTTTATGGACAAGAGGAATCTGACTTGATGAGTTACTTGGAAAAACTAATTCATTTTCTCTCCTACCTTCATGGAGTAAGGTCTGTTGCTCTGGATGTAATCCATTATTGATCTGAGCTTCTTAGAATAGGGATTGTCCACTTCAGGGAGTAGTGTCTAATAACAGAATTAAGAGGTGATGAAATGGTTACATGGCTATACATGATTCTATACATATCTATCATTAGTAGTCAATGCTAACATTAGCGACTAAACATTAAGAGTGCTGTGTATATTTTGTGTAGGAGAGGCTTTCCAAGATCCCACAAAATTATACTGGCAGCTGGTGAAAGGCATAACCAGTTCCCATTTCAAACAGGAAGATGTACCAGTGGCCAGAGATGAATAACTGTATGCCTGCAATGAAATATCAGTTTTCCAATGGGAAAAACCAACAGGTGCTCCTAAGACAACACAATACAAAGCAACTGAATTAGAGCCTTAATCACTATTTGGTTAGAAATCAATTTTATCAAATGTATTCATAAGTGTTTGTGAACTGTCCAGTGGCTGCTGGTAACCTAAATCACATAGTATTCTCTCTCTGCCCTCAGTGGGTGACCAGCACAGAGAGAGAGAATCTTAAACTACCTACGCTCTTCTTTCAATCCAAAGTTAGTTGTGTAACTGTTATTTGTTTGGAATGGCTTCCCACTTATATAGAAATCAAGTTTTCTGCAGCCCAGTCCCCTCTCGCCCACAATATACTCACAGCCTCGGTGCTGAGATGTGCAAAGGATGGCACATTAAAGATCCCTTGAATAAGCTCTGGTGGGGCGCTGACTCCCAGCCACAAGAACATATTTAGCCCGTTTGCCAAGAAGAATACCCCTCCTTCAGACAGACGTTCCTCTGAGCAACGGACAGCAGTGGGGAAAGCATCACTCTTTACATCCATAGTGTGCTGCATGACAAGGGGAAAAAAGAATGTCACAAGGAAGCTTCAAGGTCTATTGCTAATGGGGAGTTATACTCTGAAAAAGTGTAAAAAGGGCATTTTAGGGTCATAACACATTTATTACATCTCAATTACTCCTTTCCAAATTTGCTCAATTCATAAGTTTTTGAAGTCAGGCTGTGTTCTTTCTAGCTCACACATCACCTCCCCTAAGATTCTGCATGCCAAAGGGTTTGCTAAATTATACCTGTACTACATCGATGCGCATTAGTGTAACTGACTGTCTAATCAAACACAATTGGGTTGCACAGTTTGGATTGGAATTTAGTTAACAATCCTGTGAATGATTTGCAAGCAAGAAGAGTACCCAGCTCACTCTCTCATAGTTGTACTGCCTCTGCAGGGCTGACAGTGGTAAAAACTTATTGTCACTGACGCAAGCAGGCACTACTTTGAATGCACATAGTAAGCAAATCTTGCTGGGTAAGAAATCACTTTTTCTAATGCAGCTACTTTTCAGAGTAGAGCTGCCCGTTACATAAAAATAATCTAGTCAATTTCAGCTTAGACAGGGGTAGGTAGTACAGCTTCTATTCTTATGGTTTTGAAATGCATCTTTAAAGAGAGATTCTCTCCTCTTGCTGTTTCAGGGACACAATAGGGGGACACTGACTGAGTTTCTATTAAGATGACTACACAAAGTGCTTTCAGATTCAAAGTGAAAAGAGAAAAAACGTCTTATAAATTGTTAATATAATTATTTTCTATTAAGCCACTGAGCTACCCTTACTAATCATTAATTCTTTCTGAAAGACAACTACCTGTCCTGTGCATAAGTGGAATGATAGTCATCTTTCACTGCCTCTAATTCAGGATTTTTTTAAAATTCCAATAAAGCTGTTAATGAACCATGACATTTAGAAGAAATAATTAGCATGAAGGAAACAATCTATTGAGCGGAGTAAGAGCATCTACTCTAGACATTTGGGCCAAAGTGATTGTATCTGTGCATATACAGATAGCACTGAGGAAGTGAGACTGAAGTTTATAGCTATGTAGTTATTTCTTCTGGTCAGTAACTTTCTCAAGACATTTTCATCTGACTGACTGAAATTTTAATCTGCTTGATCAGCTGAAGACTAGACAAAGGCAAGAAAGTACCTCTACAAAATGGGATCACCCAATATATAAAGAACCCTCTGCATGTGTGCACATATGCATGGTCAGACAATTTAATTCAGCATGTCTGAGCCACTTATCACTTCTACTGAAAAACCTGTAAAAATAGTGTTTCCCCACTAGAAAAGACTCACTTCAAATGTATACTCACAATTGGCAGAAGCTGTGGATAGAAAAACAACTGGGTGTCAGCAACATCCATAGACATGACCAACTGCCTATGATAAGCTCTTTCATCTGTTGGAATTTCTGGTCTGCCAACTAGCACGCAACTTTTTAATAAACAATTAATATAAACTGGTAGCACCTTCATCGCATCGGGAAGGATAAGCTGAAAGACAAATCTTGTTATTTAATATACTCAATCTACTATTGGATTTATAAGCTTCTTCTACATATACTATCTTTTACCATTTATTTTTTTAAGATGTCATTTATGAAATATAATTTTTGTGCTATTCTAGCTGACTCCGGACTATTTGAAGCAGCTGCTTGCAAAGAAGTATTTGGGATCAGTAAATAAGCACTAACAAAATGCAGAAGAAGTTACTTCAGCTTCCCCCCCCCCCCCCATAATTTTGTAAGTGAAGGATGTAGAACAGTATTACATTAATCAAACAGGCCAGAAGGTGAGTGGGTAATATGAGCAGGATGTTATTCTAATGTGCACTTGGTCACAGAATGCAGTATTCGGTATACTTGTATGAAAATGTGATGCTCAGAATAAAACATCAGCCTGTTGTAAATCAGTTTAAAACGCCAGCGTGGTTACAAACACTCTTAATGTATAAATGGGCACTGAGTTACCTAACCTGAATAAATGCTTTAAATAAACCAACAATTATAAACTTATTACTGAGTGTAATCAGCAGTCAGTTAAATTGCTAGGTTCCACCTCAAGGAAGGAAACAAAGATATGTTAATTATGTAACCCTG